CCCTTCTCTTGATGATAAACTTGACATTCTCCATTCTGAATTAAAATAGCTATACCCATCTCTTGTAATTGACCAACACTTAGTAAATTAGTGCGTAGCTCAGGGATGTAGAGCACATCACTTATTACTTGTGTTCTTCCTTGTACTTCTAGTTTGATGTCTCCTTTGCCACGTACTGTCATGCTTGTATCATTGCCTAGCTTTACTGAATGGGAGAATTCTTCATCCATCTTGTCAAACCATTTTTTGTTTCCAGTCATGTGGTTGCTACAACCGCTATCAAGGAACCAAACATCCTCCGGTTTTGCATTCCTTTCGTTCACATACGCCATCAACAATAGCTCCTCTTCTTCATCTAGTTTCGTATAATGAGTCGCTGCCTTCTCCCATTTAGGACATTCATACTGAAAATGTCCCAATTGATGACACTTGAAGCATTCAATGGTTGCTTTATTGAATGATCTACCCCGGCCTCTTCCTCTTGCAGATCCACTACCTCTCACTGGCCCGCGGCCTCGTCCTCTTCCACTTGTTTTCTCCTCATATGCAATCTTCAAGGTCTGGTCATCTCCTTCCCTTCTCCGTAATAATTTTTGTTCATGAACAAGCAAAGAGCTTTGAAGAGCATCAATTGTAAGTTGGTCAATATCCTTTGCTTCTCGATAGAGCATACGATATAGTCAAAATTCTCTGTGAGAGTTCGTAATATCTTCTCAACAATCTTAGCGTCTATCATGTCTTCTCCACAATTTCGCATGTCAATGGCCACCACCATGACTCGTGCAATATAGTCAGTGACTGTCTCTCCCACCTTTATTTCTAGTAGTTCAAAGGTTCTTCAGAGTCTCTGAAGTTGAGCACGCTGCACCCTAGCATTTCCTTGATATTTGACCCTCATTGAATCCCACAACTGCTTGGAAGTCTCTTTCTGAGTGATGGTTTTCAGAATAGACTTGTCAATAGCTTGGAAAAGATAGTTCTTGGCTTTTAATTCCTTCAGCTTCATCTCATCTAGTGCTTTCCTTTGCGCTGTTGGTAGGTTCTGATCTTCCTATGGCTCTTCATAACCTGATTCAACCACGTTCCAATACTCTTTTGATCTAAGGAGATTCTCCATAAGGAGACTCCAATTATCATAATCCCTATCAAATTTTGGAATGGAGGCCTGTACAAAATTATTTGTTTCGACTGCCATTGCTCTCACACTCGTGTTTCTAGTCCTCACACACTATCAGGCCTCTTTCTAGGCTCTGATACCAGCTTTGTTGGATACCACGCTAATGCTCACAGAAATTGCAGAAGAATAGTCCGTCTTCTTTATTAACATATTGAGGCTTATATAAGCCTTTTACAACTAACAAGAAAAGATTAAGCAATCACGTTTAACAACCCCTAAAAATGTGGAGAACAAAGCACTACTAATTCAACCTACAACCATGTCCCTAAGTTTCGGGATTTATTAACAGTAAATAACAGACTAAATTAAAAACATTATCCTAACATGAACGCTTCGAAATATTTTTTATCATTGGTAATATAATAAGACTATTCCCCAGCGATAACTTCTCTCTAAGACTTCATACTTAAGGTTGCATACATTATTAAAAGATAATACAAAATTGAAAATGTGCAACAAGGTAATTGAATTAAGGAAAAATTACATTCATAAGATTTAATAAAAAATTATTTGATATATATTTTTTATTACTATCATATACAAATCGATCATATATTGTGTAATAACATAATATTATGTATTTTCCTCGATTACATAAATTATTTTTAATTTTTTGTGCAGCTATATGAATTAGGAATGATTAAAATAATGCCATATTCTCGTGTTTTCAAGAAGTATCAATGTATTTTATTTTAAATTTAATTTTTTTATGTTGTTGAGGCACATGATATGATAAAAAAAAATATTTATTTTGATTTTAAAATAGACAACTAATTAAGATGATTCTTTATTTTGAAAAACTACATTTTTCTCTTTTCAAAACGATTATATCATATTATTTATCAAATTAAAAAAATTCAAATTCATTTTTCCTTGAATTATTATTTTTTACTAAATTCATATAAATAATATATGTTTGAAAAACACAGAGTTTTTTTTTTTGGGTTCGATGTTAGAGACGTTTGAATAGGATGGAAGTTTGTGGCCCACAACCATGGGCTCATATTCGTCATCATGGTTATAATGTGGATATAACCAAGCCCGTGAAGTATAAGCTATCACCCGAAAAAGAGCGATCGATATGGGCCCGAGATATTTGTTTTTGGTAGAGACCCCAGTAGTTAGACTATATCTAGAACATGAAGTTGGGCCAACAAAATAAAGCCCGATATATTAGCAACTTTTTTTTATGGTTTACTTTGAAAATGAAAATTAAGGAACCCAAATAAAAATAAAAAAAAGTAAGATAAAGGAACGTCACATTACACGCATATATATGTAGAAGCAACAACATGATTTAAAGCTGGAATGCTAGTTATGATTTACCTTGGTTCTACCCAATGAAGGGAAAGCACATGCTAATGTTTGCTGGACTATGTAGGAGAAAAGAGAAATGGTGGAAACCAAAAAGTGTTCAGTGGTGCTAAACTACTAAATTTGTGGGTCAAGAAATGGTAGATTTGATTAAAATTAGAGCATGGTTGTGGATCAAAGAAAAATCTTATCATAATAGATATATATCTCTTTTGGTGAGTGGGAGAAAAATCCAATCATGTATGTTCATAAACTATGGCATTAGATAATTTAGTTTATTGAATATTAATTTTATGATTGTTACGTTTTCATTTAAAGTGTATCATGGTAGTTAAATTGGTAGGTTTCATGACTTTGTATTTTAAACAAAAAAAGTAGCCCTGCATACTATAAATTTTGTCTTGTCCAAAAGTAAAAAAACAAACCTAGAACGGTACGAAGAGTGTGTGGTTTGCAAACAATCCATGTTAAGAATGAAAATCTTAGAACGTGGTAGAAGGAGATGTTAACGAATCATAAAATGCTGAGAGAGGTAAATAAATAAATAATTCCATAAGTGAACGGATAAAGAAATAGGGAGTATAAATTATTTTCTCTTTCATTGTTCAAAAGAAACACATTAATTAATTATTAAGGGTTGAATTTAAAAAAAAAATTCAATTATTCATTAGAATTGTAAAACGATAATTAAATTAACATTTAAAAAATGTTAAAACATCAATAAAAAGAGAATATATAGAAAGAGTATGGAATTAAGCTAGACTGAGAATTTCAAGCCATAGAAAGAAACTTGCAACTGTCCAAACTCCGACTCAAATTAAAGTGTAATTATGTTCCTTTCTCGAGCTCTCCAACTAATCATAGGGTTTGATTAGCTTACTAGATTCAATATATGATCCACAATAAAGATTTTTAGAAAGAACATTCACACTATGCAAGGGCATGCAGTTTCTCTGTTTATCGTCACAACTCTTGTTATTTGATCATCATCGTACGTGGTAGTGTGACACCCAACCCCCCCAATAAATAAATTTATTCAGCTAAATTAGCTTCCATGGCTTCTAGCTACTAGCATTAGCTAATCTTCCACTTTTAATAAGAAGAAACAATATCAAACGTTGAGATTTTTCATGTAGTATGAACACTCAACTCAACCCTGATAATTAAATGTAGCTGGTAAATGAACTCTAAGAGCAATTTCTGTGACATGCAATGTGTACTCCTTCAACCCATACGTAAAATATGTTCACTGGCCATTGGCCAAATCTTTTATATATAGGTGTCTCTCGATTTCATGTTAATTACTATAGAATGGGGAGAAACAAAATTTGTGATGTAGCCAATGCATTCAATCCAGGAGACACTTTGTCTATTTGTATGCATACAAATTCATAAGCATGTGTAGGTACTATGATTAGATTAGTAATCTAATGTTAGGTAAACCTATCTGTTAAAATATACAATACGAGTCAAGTGGGGTCCAATAACTCATCCTAAGGCTATGCTTGCCTTTAACCATAATGATAGTGTCCTCTAAGTCCTCTCCACCCTCTTCCTTTCCAAATCAAAATCTTAGGAAGAAGTCTCCTGAATACACCCAAGGAAACAATGTATTTAGATCCAAACATGTTCAGAGATGTAACAACTTAGATCACTTTTGACTTCAGTTACTCATTTCCAACTTTTTGAAACATAATAAAGAGAAAAATCCATTGACAAATGGACTGATACACATGTTATGATTAATGCTCATGCATTATCTCTTTTTGGTCTCCTTGGTGCTTTTTCGTTTCTTTGCCCAAAAAAAAGAGGGGAATCATCATATATTCTAGCGTGCCTAAATTTTTTGTTCATATTTTTCCCAAATAGCTAAAACGAAACGTGATTGTGACCATTCACTAACATAGAACATGGACAGAGAGAAGACCAATTTGTGTTTGTCTTTTAAAAGGAACAAATCCAAATTAAACTTCATAAGGATTCTCTCAAGAAATTCTTTTAAAGATCAACGTGTGGAGATTTTCATCTTAATTTTGCTAGAATAAGGATCCAAGGACGGATGAGGAAACAAAGGACACCTCATAATTCAAGGTGGGCATCATTATTGAACACATTGAAAGGCATAGGAAAGCATAACAATTGAAGAAAGCGCCTTCTTTGAAGGCTTCCCATTTGTAGTTCAAGGATGTGTCTTTGTTATTGTAGTGCAAATGAAAGTACATAATTTAAACACTGGAAATTAATTTTTATAATAATTTGAGTAAACACAATAATATTGGAGAGAGAGTAAGAAAGACTTTGCTAGTTTGCAAAAATTTGATTTCTTTTGGATTGAATCCACAAACAGAAAATCCTAATGACAATTTAGTCTTATCATTTATGGCATGCATTTTTCTTCTTGACACTCAGTATATACAACACTAGGCAAAGAGCTATCACACCTCAACATCAAGGGATATCGTTCAAGAAAACAAAGACAAATCAAAGACTAGCTAGCTTCATAGCTAGCCTAATTATAGTTCCCCATCATCCTGAGTGCCAATTCTTGCAGCTCACCCAAGTCATTATCGTATGATATTTTCTTAGAACAAGCTTGAAATGAGAAATCCTCTTTTCTTTGTACATCATGCGTGCTCATACAATCTCTGATTTTGCTATAGTCAATTGAATCAAGCGAGCTCAGAGGAGATATAGGGTTCATGGAAATGGGACAAAATGGATTGAATTGTTGTCCAACAACATTCCCTGACCACTGATTCTCCAAGTTCCTGGACTCCATCAGGTTCTGAGCCAGTTGTGCCTTCATATGGATCAGTTGTGCCTGCAAGCATGCTACCTATTTTAAACCAAAAGACAAAAAACTTTGTTAGAGAAAAGAATCATGAATATGATCAATTAATAATATGACGTAGAAACTTGTTTGTACATTGATAATAAGATAATTGACAAACTATACATGTTTATAGTCAATAAATAATAATATTCTTGGACTAACTCTTGAATATTCGTAGAAGCAAAACCTACCTGCACATCTCAAGTATGAGAAAAAGACAGAAGTGTGGTGGAAAATCCACTTCCTAGTTATAAAACCCCAATTGATTCCGTATTTTCAATACACATATAGAAAGAGAAAAGGAATTTAGCAAGAGAATTTTTTTTTACCATGAGAAGAGTAAATTTAATCATAAAAATATTATAAAAGATTAAAATTAAAAGTATTTGATAATCACATTATTACTTTAAATATTAGTTAATATTTTAATTTTTTTATTTATGATTCAATTTAATAGTTAGATTTATTATTCTCGCTTTTATATTTAAAAGTTTTCTCAATTGAAATATTTTTTCTCTCTCTCGAAAAGTTTCTCACTTTGATATAAGTTTCTCAATTGATATTATTATTCTTACAAGAATTACATAATTAATTGTGAAAACAATTAATATTAATCCTACAATTACATGTAAATTGATTAAGATTAAAATTAAATAATTATTTATGTATAATTATATATACGATAAATATCTGATATATTTGTAAAAAAAATTTACCTATAACTAATACGCCATAGTCAGGAAAAATGGGATAAAAAAAATTTCTGGATTCTGAAAAGAAGTTGATCATGAATGGTTGATTGCAAGTGTTACTTAATTAAGCATAAGCTTCTCCTTTTCACAAATATACACTAATTAGAGAGGGAGAGAGAGTATTGAACTTGTGAGGTAACCGTACCTGTTGCTGTAAGGCAAAAATATGGGAGACACAACCATAAACAGGATCTCTTATACGAGCTTGTGCCTCATAAGTAATTGTTACCACAGCCTCACAACGATGATGAGCTGGTATATGGAAGAGCAACTTGGAAACGTTGCTAGCACCAAACACTTTATGGATGGCTGCAAATTTAGCAGCTCCTTGTTGGGAACAAAAGTAAGGTGCAAAGATGCAGTCAATTGCACACTTTCGTCTGAGGAACTTGCATGCCCCACAAGGAGATCCAGAGCCAGTGGTAGTGGTGCCATTCCCAGTTGAAAAAGCCATAGTCTTATCTAGAGAGTGAAAGAAAGCGTGTTTTGTTGTATAATATTATTATGTGTGAAACTGAAAGAAGTGATTAAAATTTTTAGGCACACGGGTACACTAGGAAGTGGTGCAAATGGTGAAGAAGGGAGAGAGTGAGATATGGAAATGGTTGTGGTTAGGGGAAGTATGAAAAATAAGGGACACAAAGGAAGGGAAGTGTCTTACAAGAAATGTTAATGGCGACATGGGAGGCACATGTGTAGGCTTCTAAGGGGACATTTGTCAATGATAGAGGCTACATCGGACTAGTTTTTCAAATGCCAAGAGCAAAGGGATTAATTAGATACTCTCAACTTTTAAGCTTTTTCACTAAAATTAACCCAAAATTTATAATTTGTAGTTAATAACTTAGTTCAAATTTTCTAATTTATAGTTGAAAGTTAATGTTTTATAATTAGTTGATTAAATTAGAATTGTGTAATAAAGTTAATTATATAATTTTAAAAAATGTTAATCGGATAAATAATTAATAATAGTAAAAATTTATTAAAAAATATTTATAATACTTTTAGAATTTTAATACATTTTTTTATAAAAAAATTTATTTATAGATATTTAAACTCAATTCTAAAATTAGGTTATCAAATTTCATAATTTAAATAGTTAAATATTTATAATAAGAGTTTTAGTGTCTCTAATAATTTTATTTAGTTTAAATAATATTATATTTTTAAAATTACTCTATAAAAAATTAAATATATTTAATAATTAAAATAAAATTAGTTGTTTTGTGTGAATGTGAATTATTTAAATAATAAAAAATAAAATATGGTAATTAAGTTTTATCTAACTAAAAGTTAGGTAAAGTATAATTTTATAAGCTAATTTTTAAAATATAATATTTAAATTTTTTTATTAAACAGTATATATTAATTTATTAAATAAAAAAATTAATTTTTTTATAAAAAAATTGCAATGTTATGTAACCTAATACATTATCAACTGACTTACGTAACTTCGACTGGTAACAAAATTCCTAATATACATCGCTACTTAGCATTAAAAATTGTGAGAGATTCAGGATTATAACATGTGAGCGACTTCGTAAGTTATGTTAAAAAAATATTTGTATTACCAACAGATGTTAGTTAATGATAAATAGTGTGAGTCTTTATATATGTAAAAAAATTTAATACCATATCAAGATATACGATTCAGTCAATTGAATCTCTTTTAAATGTAAATATATTATAAAATTATATTTTATTTATCATACAGATTTTTTTTATAATTATGAAAAACATTATCAGTATATTTTTATGATTTTTTATTATATATCTTTAGATACTCGTTAAAAAAATTGTCGTTCATTTGTGTTAGAGTGTCCTTTTATATGATTAGTTTCAACTTGCAATTTAATGCTCTATTTTTTTTTCTGTTAAACTCTTATATTTTAACATTCATTCTTTATATTTATTTTATCAATTTTTTTACATCTTATATATTTTATTCTTGGTTCTGTTCTGTCTTCTATACACTTAAAAAATGAGTATCACCAAATAATTTTTTTATTGGTGTGCCTCTTTGCATTATTATAAGGTTAGTTGAATTTATTGACTAATGAGTTGATTGATTGTTTAAACAGTAGGATATTGACATTAATTTTAGGTTAAATTTTTATTTATTCTAATTACTATATTATAAATATAATATGTTTTAAAATAAAAAATTACTAATTTGATATATTTAAATTTATTTTTATTGTGTAAATCAATGAAAGGAACACAAAATAATATAGATAACATTGTTTCAGTTAAAATAAATTAAAAAATAAAAATATTTTTATTTTCTTTGAAATTTAAGTTTTAAGTTTATTTTTTTCGCTTCTTTTCTGTAAATAAATGACATTGACAAATCTATTTTTTTATTACTAATTGCGGGTTTATTTTCCACCGAACGCCGCACCTAGGGACTGCAAGTCTTTGTCGCTTTCTGACGCTGCCACCTGCCGGTAAAGTCAACCGACAGCTTCCTACTGACTTACTGCCCATCCAGTATTTGTTTGTGTTCTTGTCTGTTAAAGATAACATTTTGAAAGTAAAGAAGTAGAAAAATGTTAATAGAGGGGATTATTTTAAGTAATTTAAAAAAGTAAACTTTACTTAAAATATTTATTATATTAAATATAATAAAACTATTATTTTTAAGTACTTAAAATTATCTTAATTACCGATTTAATAAAATTGATAAAAATATTAATTCTATAATAATATAAAATTTTATGTTATTATTTTAAGAGAATAAGAGTAAATAATTTGAAGTATTTTTCATCTTTTTAACTCTGATTCATTAAAAAAATGTTTATTTAAATTTGTTATCGAGTTAAATAAACAAGACTTTAAAGTTAAGTTTTAATATTTAAATGAACTGAGTTTAAGTTAGTTAAACTTCAAGTTAATAGTTCATAAATACTAATATGTGTGCATGTATATATACTTAAATAATTATAACTTTATTTATTATATTTTTCAAATTTTTAATTTTTAATATATTTTTAGTTAAAATGTACTTTAATTTTTTAACTAATACCCTTGAAAAAATCCCACTATAAAATATGGACAAATAATCGAAATTATCATTTTTGTCTTCACATGATTCTTTTTTCTTCTTCAGTTATCTTTTCAAATTAAGAGATTTTTATAAAGCCTAAGATAAAGCAAACAAATTTGGCAAATTAATTTCGAAAAATAGATCTCATAATCAGTTAATTTTTAATAAGTTATAATATTTAGTATGAACTTATAATAAACTTCATACAAAATATTATAAGTTCAGTTAGAAAAAAATCAACACCTCAAACTAACTATTTAATTTTTAATGTTCTATCTAATATAATTTCAATACCTTTAATATAATCCAACAGTATTGGCGCAAACAGTAAAAAAATAATTTTATATATTTCTATTTACTTAAAATGTAGTCTTTACATCTAATGGTAACATTATTTTAAAATCAAATGATGAGGGCAAGAAACTAGGCTCGTTATGCTGCGTCATTTCTTCGTTTCAGCGTTGTACCCCCAATTATGCTTGAAAGAGGCGATCCCTAGAAGAAAAGAAACGTGAAACGACCCGTTTTCTGCTTAAACAAAAGTTTGTTCACAAATGGAACAATATATTAAGGACTACATTAATTATGTTTATTACAAATATTATCAACATATATTTCATTACGATTTTAAATAAGAGATAATTTATTTATTAATTATTTAATAAATATTTTTATGACATTCCTGAATAATATTTTATAATTAAAAATAAAACATTATCATTAGTCTTTAATTTTAATCTTAAGTATTTTTTAATAAAATATATTTTTTAAATGATAAATGTATATACGCAGAATCAGTATTGACATTGACAAAGCTTCATTATTAATTATTAACTGCATCAGGGTTATGAGGGCTCTCCTTACTCTCTGGCTTTAAAAATATGATAACTACAAAATAAATTTGTCTTGGAAAAAAATTCTCTTGATGTGTAATTAAAAGAATATAATGACCTTTTTCATATTTAAATTATTGTTGCAAAATTTTTAAATATAAAGACAAAATTGAATTGATTTTTTTTCGTTGAAGTTTTTAACGAAACGTTTTCTTTAAAATATTTATATTATAAGATTTGTTAAAGTGAGTAAATTAACTTAAACATGCATCAGATCTATTATGGCATGAACCAAAAACTATAAAAGAGGAATGAATAATAAGAGTAAATGGATTGCTTTTCTTCATGGTAGAGGCATAGGTAAAGATATACGAGGAAGCAACGTGACAAAACTTATCATCTATGCCAAACAAAGAATGTCAAAGCTAGAAAGCTTGGAACCACCACCTTTAACAACTAATACATTTTGCCGCCAAAACTCTGTTTTTCGCTTCTCTTCACGTTCATCATTTCCCATTCATTCTCGCTGTTGTTGAATGAAGAGTATTGTCTCTCACAAATGGGAGCTCACAAAAGTATCCATGCAGGAAAAGGTCTAATTTCACTTATAACTTGTTATTATATTATTTGATTTTTTTTAATATATAAGAAGTCTTTATGAAAATTACATTATTTAATATGTTCAAAATCACACGATAATATTAAATATTATAATTTATTAATTTCTTTTGTGCATAACAGCAAAGCTGGACATTGGAGTTAATTTCATTCAAAAGTTATGTAGTTATTACATGCTCTCCCCTCTCAGGTTTCTAACTATTCTAGGCTTCAAAACCTAAGCTGAGAATGTTTTGGTTGAGTAATTCTCCGATGATGTTTTTTTCATGTACTCCAACAGCATATGTAGTAGCCCGTTTTCTCTGGCTAGTGGCAGGTACACAATTTGCCAATTTGGTTTGATTTCTATGTTTTTTCTTCGCAGTAAATCAAATTGATTTCTATATATATATATAACCAAGTATTTCGATTTCGTTCATTGATCAAATGCAGCCTTCGCTTGAAGCACCCTGACCTAGTTAGAAACAGTGATATGCTTGATGTATCGTGGCAAAAGGGGTTACATGATTCAAATCTCTTGATAGCTTATAGGTACCCTAGACCTCTATATCATGGTCACCAGTCTCTTACTATTCAGGTTTGTTCGTACTGTTACATTCTGGCTCTAACTTGATTGTAAATTCATGTTAGAAATCAAGGAACTTATTGCATTGTGATGTTTTCTTTCCCTTCCTTTTGCAGCATTCAGTTTCACCCGAGGTTAGTATCCATGGAATTCCAATTAACAATTTCTCCCATACCGCAAGTCAAGGTGTAAAATTGTCAAAGTTGTCAATTGGGATGAATATGAATGAGCCTTCTTCTAGCTCTAGTTGGAGAAACACAACAGGTGTATACTTTAAGGTTGGTGGAGTTAATGTTGGTTTCTTCAATTCTTACCCTGCATTTCATTGTGCATTTAAATTTAAATTTCACTACCTTTCTCTAGTGTAGAGATTCTTGTCATCTTTGTTGGGTAAAGAAATAACGCTATTGATTTTGCAGCATATTCACTTCATAAATGATGGAGGTCGCTCTATAAGCAGAGATGTGGATGGTTTTCCACTGACTTGCAGGTTGATGAAATTTATGTGATTCAGTCCTTATCAGACAACCTGTTTGAATTGAATAATTTTGACTTACTATGTATTTTTTAAATTCTACGTAGTGGAGATCCATTTGATAATATGATAGTGATTAATCAAGAATCTAGATTTGAAGAAGCAAATGATCGCGGTTTCACCCACGTAAGTATTCTTCATTAGTAATAAAGGAGTGAGAAATTCAAGATGCAAACTTAAAACCATAATTTATGTGCAAGTCATATTCCATTTATTAACTACTAGCGTATATATATATTCAGTATAGTTTCCAAATGGAACAAGGGATTCCACTTCCACCAAACTTGGTAACCTTCAATCGGTTTAAATTTTTTGCTTCCAGAGGATTCAAACTTGGGCCTGCTTTTTTCTCCTCATGGTGAGTTATGCTTCCTCCTTCAGTGGTTATCATGCATTACTGCCTTTGCCACAGGGGCATATATAGCTCAAGCATAAGGGAAAATCCATGTTTCTATGCTTGTATTTGCTACATCAGTGTTCCAATCTTATCTGGCAGGTTGACTGGTGGTTCAATTGTGGGATCCATTGCTCCATATCAAGCATTTGCAATCGGTGGTCCTAGTAGTGTACGAGGCTATGGTGAAGGTGCAGTTGGTTCTGGACAATCATGTGTGGTATCTAACAGTGAATTGGCAATTCCATTGGTACAATGCTCATTACTTTGCATGTCTCACAAACTATGTTATACTAATACCAACTTAAAATTATGAATGCTCCTTTATTGAGGTTCTAATTTATTGGTATTTATCTAATAAATGTTGTTTAACTTCTCTTTTCTCAAGTTAGATTCTTGTTATACCAGTTACTATACTTCCAAGTTCAAGAAATCATGGCCTCCTTTTGGGGTCTTGTAAGTGTGAGATCATAATTTGATTTTCTCGTGTATCATTTCAGAAAAGCTTGCAAACTTTAATTAAATCTCTTTGCTCTAAGTTTTACCGTAGGTGACTAGGAAGTAAGGTTTTCATTTCATAGCAAGAAAGTTAGATAATTAAAAAGCATCTTCTTGTCAAGAACAAAATGTCTACTGTTCCTCATAAAACTCCTAGCACTTAGATCTTTCTGGCTATTGGCATTATGACATAATTTACTGATCAAAATATCCATACACAACACATTCACCGTGACTCATCTATGACATTTATGATTCTACCATTATTGTAACCAATCACCTTTTTTACTCTAATTGCAGAACAAGAAACTGACTGGTGTTATCTTCCTGGACTGTGGATCTGACCTGAGGAGCAGTAGTAGGGTTCCTGGTGAGTTTCATTCAACCACCTAAGAAATCTAGTCACAAGTTTATCTCTGAGGCAGTTTTTTCCTAACTTAATAGGCAGTGTAGAGTATAACTATTTTTTTGTTATGTGCTAAATTGTAGTTATATCATAGTAGTTTGCTTTAATTTTTTCATCCAATGAGAATTGCAGGAAATCCAGGACTGAGACAGGGTAAACCAGGAACTGGGTTTGGAATTGGGTATGGCATTCGGTTCAATACCCAATTGGCTCAAATAAAAATTGATTATGCCATTAATGCATTTCAACAAAGAACTGCTTATTTCGAAATAAGCAATACGATTCTATGAATGTAAATATGGCCTAGTGTTGCCAAATTCCCTCACCCTGCCTTCTCCACTCTTTACTTTGGTTATAACAAGCTGAATATTACAAAAACAATTAAAACTGTGACTTTCGAAGTGATTTTTTGCTGGTTCTCCATAACCGTGTATAGGATTCTTTGCCCATTACAAAAACCATTGTTTCACCATTGAGGAATGTCCCATCAATACCTTGTGATATCCTTATTCATCCATATGATATAAATAATGTAACTATAAAAGACCAATGTTATTGTTGAAGACTAGTCTATACGACTAGGAAACTTAGAAGGTTGGGTTGAGTGATTATCATAAACACGTTATTCACCACGGAGGAAACATGATTGCGTGACCAAAAGTATTCACATGCTATTTGCTATGTGAATGGGAGGATCTGCAAGCTAATTTGGTGTTGATCAAGTTCAGAAGAAGAACCATGTCATAATCCTAACACAAGAGAAAAACTAATTTCAATCACTGTTCTAACATTTTTCAAATATATTATCATTTATTATATCGATATGAAATTTGTCCAACTATAACGTGAGGTGTTTACTACTTATAAATTAAAAATGATCTTATCAAAGTTCTTAAATCACAATTTTCGAGAATATAAATTTATTAGAGTAATGTTATGCATTTAGAATAAACTTATTTAGCATATTTTATATAAAAAAATATTTTTATTGTATCATTTATCTTACCCCCACACTTCTCTCTTTAATCTTTCATCTCTTTTATAAATTATAAAAAAATCACAAAATTATTATATGTATAACATTACTAATTTTATTACCAAGAGTACATCTAAAAGAGTTTATAAATAACTTATAAAAATAATTTATGAATCTCATATATTTTATTTATTTATTTATTTTAATAAATTTGTACTTAAATTTATAGTAAAAAATTATTATATAAAAGATTTATTAAATAAATATTTAATTAAACTACGTATCAAAACACACTTAAAAAATTGCCATTCACCTTTTGGCTTTTGTATAATTTAGAAGGATAAGATGACCATAGTAGAAATAAAAAATAAAGAAAAAGGTATTTTATTTATTTAATTAAAATAAAAATGTGAATAGTTTTCCAAATGTTGGAAAAGTCAATGAAGGGAAGGCCATAATTTCATCACAAAACGGATTTCAATCCCTTAAATGTGCTGTGTTGTAATTGCTAGTTAAAAAGTTAAGAGAATAAATTTAAACAATTTTATAATTTATAATATACTTCTATAAATATTATTAATAATTATTATTATTTCAAAGCAATTTTCAAAAGAAGACTAGTTCGGCGACCCTAACTAAAGAACAAGATGCACCTCTTCCTTTTTCTAAGCTTGGGATTGAAAAAAGTGATAGAACGTTACGATGGTGTATAGAGCTTGAAGAGTGGGCCCAGTGATAGCTTTATCCATCTTTTACATTCTTAATTAATAACCGTATGAGAGTATGAGTAATTTGTAGTGTTACACTCGCACCATATATAAACCTCTGATCACTCTTCTCTCTTTCTCTGCTTCACGTCAAGTTTTAAACACAAAGGTTCGCGTGCCTTCTCGAATCTTCTTCTTTCTCTGCTTTTAATCTTCAGATCTGATTTTTCTTTATTTGTTTTTCTTATCTTCTTCGTTTAATTTAATTAATCGTCGATTTTTATTTCTATTTTTAATTTTTTGGCTAGCAAACGCGATCGAGAACTCGCGAAACGGGTGTAGAATCTGTGATCTGGTGAGCCATGAATGCCAGAAGGTTAGTGTCGATTAATTAATGTCCTCTTCTATTAATCTAGTCTTTCATGTTCTCGAAACTAGTGTCGGTTGTTATCACTCGATTCGATTATGCTAGGAAATAGTTGTTTGTTGCTTCAGATCCGTGGAGGATTTGGATTTTCTATCTATTGATGACTTGGAATCGCTTTATAAGTGTGATTTATTTGTCGGTGAATAGAATTTGCTGTTCCAAGGCTTTGGTTTTTTTTTTTTTTCTTTTTTTCATTTTCGAATTATTCTTGTTTTTGTGAAAATGGTGGTGTGTTGAAGGAGGTTTGCGGACTTGTGAATTGTAGATACGTTTAGTCTCAGTGCTTTTATTGATCTCAAATTTCACTGCTCAATGATCCCTTGCACCTTCCAACTGGAATAAGAATAGATTTGATCGTGTGATGAGTGAGGACTGAGTTATCACTGGCATGTGTATTCCGATAACAAATGTAAGGAGAGATGTTTTATTACTGGACGAGGTCAAATTTTATTGATCTCAATTACTTCCTTGAATGAGTCATCAATGCCACATTGCTATGCAATATTTTATTTTTGTTATTTTAAGTTTTAACCCTTCGCTTTTTTATTGTCTATCTGTGTCATTCAAATGCATTGGAGTCTTTGAGTGGACATTTTGATATAGTTGCTTCTCTGAATGTGAGGGAAAACTTACTAAATTGAGTGTGTGCACCAGTGGTGGACTTGGGTACATGTCTTACACCTGTGCACTCAGTTTCAAGAAAAATACTAGCATAGATTAACATATTTGTTGCCATGGAGGCCAATAACGACAATATGGATGGTTTATGCTCACAGGGAAACAAGTTTATGCATGTACTGTATTCAAAGGGCTATGTTGAAATTGTTGTTGGATGAGTGTGTAACATAATAAAAAATGGCATTTTATTGTTTAGTAAATATAGAGCTACCTGACATAGATTTGTAAGGTTTTGCTGCCCAGGATACAGATGAAAAAAGATTTTATGCTTAAATCCAAAGCTTCGTTGCTCTCCCTGTTTGATGGAAAATGTGCTCTGCTGCGCTAGTTCTGTTTTTATTTGATCAGTTGTTATGGCCTATGTGGTTTCTGTTTATAATTTTATTATTTAGAAATGCTTAAATGCATGTATCTTTTGCCCCTGATATTAGAAATTCTGAGAAGCTGGTTCTTTTCCCCCTAACGGTTTAATTTTTCTATCTTGACATTTTATGCACTTATTGGAATTTCAAATAACTCTAATAAGTCTAAAACTGTTAAAATGTCTAGAAATGAAATTATCTTGCTTGTGTTTATTATCTGACTATTTGGCTCCTATTATTTTATATATAGATTGATATTTTTTCTCTTTCAGAGACAACCGCAACAACCGAGTTGCTCTTTTTGATGGTATTGAGGAGGGTGGCATCAGAGCATCATCTCTTTACTCCTCAACTTCTTCCCATGAAATTGATGAACATGACAATGAACAAGCATTGGATGGATTGCAAGATAGAGTCAATCTGCTGAAAAGAGTAAGCTTAATATGTCATGCAACATGACCTAGATTCCCAGTTATGTCTTCTTCTGTACAAATAATTGAGGCACCTTATAATTGTTTCTTCATTCTGTTTCAACTATTTGTAAACATCTTCATGTTTTTAATCAAATTTTTCTCTTAATGTCATGTTATCTTTCTGTTGGGAAATGAAAGGTAAATTATACTGCAGGAATTGCAACCTTCTGGAGTTTGAAATTGGAACTGTTTTGTACATGCATGATGCATTGAAGCATAGAAGTGTTTCCTTTTTCCTTTGCTTTGAGAAATTTTAATCTCATGCTTTGTTATTGCCCTCCAACTTCTTCACTGTTGACTAAAATTATTTATATAATTTCCTTCTCTTATGGTGTAGTTTGTGCTGTTCACTTTGTCGAGTATTGTAATTATATAATATCTATTTGATTCTTGATACCCTATATATGTGTGTTTGAAGACATTGAATGCATGTAATATCATTTAAAGATGAGTGGGTCGTTTTGTGATGCTCTAAAATCTTTTGTTTTATCAACTATAATTTAAGTTTTAATGGGTGTGATTGCAACAGTTGTCAGGTGATATAAATGAGGAAGTGGATAGTCATAACCGCATGCTGGATCGAATGGTGTGTACTGTCTATCGCTAGTATTTGCACTTGCTCTGCTAGTTCTTATTCTGCTTTAATGATAATCTGTTGGTAATTAAATAGGGAAATGATATGGATTCTTCAAGAGGAGTCCTCTCAGGCACCATGGATAAATTCAAAATGGTATGTAGACTTTAATCAGTATGCCCTTTTAAGGAGTGTGCTCATTTACTTTGTCATTTTTCTATGTATTTGTTGTCTTCGGTTTTCCTCTTTTGTTTGGGAGAATGACAATAGATGAGGGTTGGGGTAGAGTGGTGTCTTCCATCTCAGGATCAAATATTTATTTTTCCTTGTCTTTTTTTATGATCTCGTGTCATCTTTCAGGTCTTTGAGACAAAATCCAGCCGAAGAATGTTTTCACTTGTAGCATCCTTTGTTGTGATTTTTCTTATAATATACTATCTGACTAGGTAATTGGTCTTCTACGCAACTGTCAGCTTTATTTTAGATTTGGAAGGAGGCTACTTGCTCTATTCCTGTAATTAGTGTTATTACTTATAAGATGTTCCTCTATGTTTGTATAAAGATTTTGACATTTCATTTAATCCAACGAGTAATGTCCATAATCCAGTTTGTGTACATTTTCTCATTCCCTTTGATTTAGGTTATGTATGCTTCATCTATACTTTAGATGCTTCAATCCGTACTTTATGTCAACATTCATATTTTGATGGTGGTTGTCAAAAGAGGAGCTGGAAATTGGAAGCTTCGATCCGTACTTAATGACATTGGTCTTACCATGAATTAGACACTTGTTCGGCTATGCTTTAGTCTCAACCTAATAAACGTTTACTCTCAATTTATTTTTTGGTCAGAATTTAGTCTCATTTCATGTGTGTTTGGGTAGGAGAATTTCTATTTAGGTTGGGCTGCGAGAATTCTGACATTTAAGCCCAACTAAAACTGGATTTGATCCAACAATTCGGCTTTTCCCCGAAAATTTGAAATGTCGCATGACACCTTTTGGAAGCCAAAGATCCTGACCTGAAACATTTTCTCATTTTAAAAATTTTTAAATATAGAAATACAATTTAATACTGATCTAATTTAACCTGATGCATGGTTAGATGAAAAAAAAAGAAGCAATATAACTCCTAAATTGATGGAGTGGGATTTCTTAAACAGTTTAATTTTAATACACTATTATTGTATAAAATTTTATATTGTCAACAAATTAAAATATACTAGATACAATTTTTATCTTAGCTATTATAGGAATCAATGATTTTTTCTGATATAATAATTTATTATTAGATTATATTTTATACACTATTATATTCAAATTAAATCATTTTTAAAAAGTTTAATTTTAGCACTAATTTTACAATATCAATTAATTAGAATTTAATCCAAAATTTGACATTTGATAAAATTTTGCTAATACGGAATTTATATACCCAATCTAAGAGGTTGAAATGGCAGCAGTCGAAATACTACAGCCTCCTTGCCGAACCGTTTAAAAATTGTTCATAGACAAGATTTTGAACAATGAGGCCGAAATGTTGACTTGACACCAGTCCAATAATCCTTACCCTTGGCGAGCCTTTAAAGTTGCTCATTGACTGTCTTTGACTAAGAAAATAAAAATGATGTTCTCAGTGACTTTATTTAAATAATGAAGCTCAGAGTCAAAGATTGAATTTGGAGCGGTCAAACACTATCACACGCTTTGACTTTAGTAATTATTATTATTATTTAATAGGTCAATTTATTAGGCTTTTAAAAAACACTGACTTTACCTATTTAGTAAATAAATATAATTTAAACTTATAGTAATGCCATAGGCTCAATGAATAACTTAATCTATTTTCAACCTTAGATTGGTACAAAGAAAGATGGAAACAGGTAGTTAAAGAAGGGTAAAGTAATAATTTGGCAAAAAATAATGGTATATCATTTAGTATATATATATATTTTAAAGAAAATGAAGTTTAATTCCAGATCATACAAGTTTTTTCTTTTTTTATATATATAAAATGATATATCTATCATCAAATACATAGATTAATTGAAGAAAGTTATTTTAATTTAACATGTGATTTTGAATTTAAATTTTAATAAATATAATCATATTAAATACTTAGAAAGATAATTTTGTTGTTAAAATTAATTATTATGAAAAAATAAACATAATTATATTTATTCCATTAAGTTCTATTAGTATTTCCTAACAAATCAAATTGTCTTCCGATTCATCACTAAACGTATCGTACTATCGCATGTAAACTTTATTATATTCTATCATATTTCATAATATTAATATTATACTCAACATAAATAATCCGAACACATCCTTAACCATGTCCCCTTCCTTAGCCGAACGATATATTAAGATTGTCATAATGGGGTCTGTACTGGAGGTTTGAGGATGATTCCTTGTTTTTTCTTTTCGTCTTATCGATGGTCAAGAACAAGAGTCGCATGGTCTTTGGCCAAATCCATTCAACGTTCACGGTGCCAGCTAGACTTGCATTGCTTTTAAATTTTTATGCCAAGTTACGTCATTTGGTATGGGTACAGTGGTACTGGTATACTAACCCAAGCACTCACATCTTTTTCTACTTCCACCTTGTCTTCATCTTTAGTCTCACAAACCTTGCCTTCTTGCTTCACATTACAGTAAGCCAGCCTTCCCAACTTGTCTTTTTCCTTCACCCACTTGTGAGGGTCCTAAAAGTGGGTGTAATCGTATCTGTAAGAACCAAAATTTCAAAATAAAAAGAAGAGTATGCACCAAAATTTCAAAATAAGAAAAATAATATGCACCAGCCGGGAATCGAACCCGGGTCTGTACCGTGGCAGGGTACTATTCTACCACTAGACCACTGGTGCTTCTATGCTGATTTGTCTGAATGTTCTTTCTTATATGCATTTATGACATTTCATCTTTTAACGTAGCATATGCATGGTTGGGACTTGGGAGTACATGTAGGTAATGAAGTTTCCTGAACCACACATTGTGTATAAGGAATTTTCGTAAGTGATTTTTTGGCATAAATTATATTATTGATGTATCATGCAAAGTAGCAAGTAACAACTTTTTTTTTCTCCCTAGGATACTCATATATAATTCATTTTAGCATGGAGTGAGCACATTTGACATTGTTAGGACTTGAACATCAAGTTTTTCCTAGATGTGTAATTCACTTGCCACTTAGTACATATACACGTGTGTATACAATAACTTGTTTATTTGATCCTGTTAATGCATGTACGTTTTCGTGAGTTAGTATCATTAATTTCCTTCGTTTATTACTGCCACGGATTTTCCAATCACTTCCTTGTAATAAAAATAAAATGGAAAAACGAGAGTTTTTTTTTTCTTTTGAAAAAAAGAAAGAAAATTGCATTTGCTATAAGTTATAATTAATAAACTTGCTGGGAGAGATCAATGATTAATGAAAAGAAGTCAAAAGATAAAAGGGTAGATTGAGAAGTGAGGGGCATTAACGCATATATATCTGATATGAGAAACGACGCATGTGCACGAGCATGACCAAACCGAGTGTGACATACATTTAAAAACAAGCAACAAGGTACGTTCAAGTCCAAGTCAAGTGGAGATCCGTCCATGGCCTGCTATCAAATATTCAAAGCTATGCAATGCATTTGTTCTCTTTTACTCTCTTCAAACTTAATCTCTTTTCTCATTTGTTCTTTTGCATCTTCATTCTTCATATTCTATGAAGTTTGGTTGATGACCACAGAAGTTGTTTCATGAATACTGCCTAATAAGTTAAGGACACGCGCAAACATATTCCGTTATATTAGCTCCAAATAATATGCTAATTTAGCTGCATCAAGTAATGTTTCTTATCCAAACATCTTGTTTTGAGCTGAGGAGAATATAACTTGTAAGAAATTAAATGGATGTATTGATAGAAAGAATACACTGTGCAACGTTATCATTTTTGTTTTGGTGCGTATGCAACATTAATAACTTTTACTTTAATAATATATAATAAGGGCGAAAATAGGATAAGGTTCTATTACTTTTGGACAAAATAATAATAATAATAATAATAAATTTATTGAAATTCATTGGATGGGGTTGATCAAGAAACAAATTTCTTTTCTTAAATCAGTCCATCTAGATCACAGATAGGTTGAATAATTCGATTAGCATTCCTATTATCTTTTGGACTAATTTTTATCACACAAAATTATATTGTTACTTATTATTTTTTAAAAATTCTCATAATATGTTAAACTATTTAAAAGGAAAACCTTATTATGGTGCTTATGCCGGTTGAGGTTAGGCATGATTGAGAAAATTAAAATTTGCTACTTGATTAAATTTGAGCTAGTTCAATCTAAAATAAAAAAATAAATTCATATTTTATAAATGGGTATGAATTGAATTTGCCGTGTCATGGATAATCCAAACCAATAAACATTTTCTTAAATAATAGCTCTTCAAACAACTCAACAAAGATATTCAATAATACTTCGAAGCATATAATTTTTGGATGCACGACAAAAAAAAAGTCATGAATAAAGACATAAATATCACCTTAATTGAATGCATTCATTAAGAAAGATTGAGAGTTTATTTTAGATATTTCTCACAAATATGAAAAAAGCACACTTTTTCAGGACAAAAATATGTTTTTCAACGACATTTTCTTGAAAGAAATTGAAGTTTTTTTGGTACTGAATGTCATGTAATGTTGGCTAACCTCTAATGCAAACCTTCATTTATGTATAAAACCAAGGAAAACATTTACTGCAAGTATCTTCTCCACGCAATTTGATGAAAAAAACTATGTTTTTAATTGGTGTGTGAACACACAAATTATTTTCATGTTTACGATTTTTTTCAAAAGCAAGTGTTTGCATAAATAATTCAAGTATTTATATTTAATAAAATCTTATATATTACGTGGAAATTTATAACTTATTTTGATGAATTTATTGTAATTAAACTTGCAATAAGATTAAAAACCATATAGAAAGATTGTATATTACTTTTTTAAATTAATCAAACACGTACCAACTTAAATACTTATATGATAAACTGGAAAGTACATCGGACATTTAGAGGAAAATATATATGAATAGCATGCAACAATTCAGCTCACCTTCTCCCCACCCTATAGAAAATACCTCACACAAAAGTGTTGTTTTTCTAGATATAGCTGAGATCAATGTACTTCTAGCCATACTTATAATTATACACAATATCACAAATATAATTAACTTCCATTTTGGATCTGATAAGGTGGAAGTTTTTTAATGGGTGTTCTGATCCTACATGAAAAGAGATGTTTCTCATGGTTTAATTTTCTTTTTGAATAAAATTATTTTGCTTTTAACTTCCATTTATTGTTGCAATAATAATGTTATTTAAGTTGAATTGTTTTAATTATATTTCTTTTTATTATAAATAAGATAAATATATATATGATCTAAGACATTCGATCTCTTTGTCCCCCCCCCCCCCCCTTTTTTTTTGCTGAACAAAAAATCTGACAAAAAAAGTTGTATGAAGAAAATGGTGCCCGAGAAACATTTCTATTGATGTAATTTCCCATGAGTTGAAGATACTCCAAGCTCAAATGTTAATCAAGATCAATAATTTTCTTTATTGCTTCGTTACCAAGTAAACATAGGAATATACGTTCATATATATCCAAACAACTGCAATCATATCTACGTACTGAAAATATAGCCGCATATAACTTTTAACAAAATAGCTTTACAAAGCTATATATCTCCTACTTTTGGCTAGCTGGACTATTTTACTCTTAGAGGCAATTACTACTCTATGTCGTGAGTTTCATATTATGCAAACAATGATAGTTAATTACTCTCTCCTTATATATATATTTGAAACAATGCAAACAAAATGAACCAGAAACTATAGAATCTCAATACCATTAAAGCGGCTTTGGGGATTTATATGCTGAGTTTGAGATTTTTTTAAATTTATTATAAAAGTAGAAGCACACTCATCTAATAAATAACCTAATTTTCATTGCAATTAACAAGCATGAAGATGCATACAGAAATCAAACAAAAAAGAGTAGTAGCAAAAGAAACATTGACATAATTAAGAACTTCTGCTTGAAACCCTAAATAGTAGGGATAGATATTTTCTGGCGAAAACGTATATATATTGAGTACCTTCCTCATCGATCACAAACTCGAGCAACCCATCTTAATGTCTTCCTTGAAGAAGCCTATATATATAGCTCCATATGCTATAGAATTAGACTTGCTTCTGCTGCTTCCAACTTGCAATAACCCATCTCTCTATACAATTGCATGCCATAAGAATATATATATTGGCCTATATAAAAGCCAGACATGCTTATAGTTAATTATATATATACTTCTTGATAGCTGGGTAGAATATATATAGATATATGTACTCTTGCTAGTGGTAGCTATGGATGATGACCAAGTCTAAGCTCCAAATCCAGGTCATCCTCTTCACTGTTGTTTTCTATCTTGTCTTTATTTTCATGTACACATAAAGGGTTAGTGTACAAGCTCAAACCCCTCTGCCTCCAATCTTGTCCAAATAGGAACTCAGGTTCCCTTTGGTTCTCTACACACAACACCTCACTATATTGTACATGTGAAGGTCTAGCACCACATGTGTGTGAAGGAAGATATATTTGATGGTAGTAATTGTAATTAGTGTCTACCTCTCGATCAGGAGCAGCGGAATAGTAATTCCCCTTTGCAAGATGGGTTGGATTAATTGCTGAATAAAACCCAAGATCTGCATAACTATTCTCATCAACCTTGCTTGAACTTGAAGGAGGAAAATTGGGTTTGGCTTTGTTGGCTCTATCTTTTCTGTGTATGTTCATGTGACCACCCAAAGCTTGTGCGGTTGTGAAGCCTCTTTTACAAAACACACACTCGTAGGATCTGCCAGTTCCCACCATGTCATCATTCTGCTCAGATGATCGATCAATTTCTTCGCTGGAGCTCTTGGAGGAGTCATCTTGATAGCTTACGAATTCCATGGTGAATATTTGTTGATTGGGATATATGAGGAATGAAGTCTCAGAGGGAAGCGTATTATAGAAAGGAGAAGGTGGAGAAGGTTTGAGAAAGAGACAAATTAAGGACATAGGCATTACCTAAGGATAGTCAAGTGAATGTGTTGTAAAGTTGAAAAGTCTTAGAAGTTTGCTTAGAGATGTATTCTGTTAGCCGGCTGTGGATTCATCTCAATAGATGATAGGAATAATATTTTTTGTGGGTCATTTTTTTAATCTTAATTATATTTTGGTATGATTTATTTGTCTCCCATTTGGACTTTTGTGCTTTTCATCTAGCTAAACACCTCTTTAATTGCAAACGCCTTTTATTACCATTCCAGCTATTCTTCCTACACGTACACCCATGTCATGTATATAGATGAGGGATGAGTATATATACAAGAATTAATCATTAATCTTCTCCATTAAAGGTGAGGGATGAGTATAATTAATATATAACCCCTTAATATCAAACAAAAATATTTTCACCAAAATATTTGGCCACATCCTCGTGTTAATTACTTAGTGCTAACATATCAAAACAACCTAACCTTAGTGCCTGGGGGCTGGAGGCAGGTGAGGTTATTGTTTATTTCATACCTGGCTGCAAATCATTGATAAACTCATTTCTAAATCGATGGAGAATAAATTGAAATCTAAATTGTCTTTGTGATATCTTTTGAGAATATATAAGCCAAAACCATTTTGATACAGCGGATCACTTTTTATGGAGATAAAATGGATATCTTGTGTACAGTGCTAAACTAACTATATTTTTGTGTATATGGATGTATACCCACATGTGTATAGTAATAATTACATTATTAGTTCCTCTTTATCACTCAATTTAAATTTTGGTCCTTATAATTTATTGTAGACATTATTTTTAAAATTTGCACGTCTTTTGGATTTCGTTCTCTACCATTTGCATTCCGGTCACTATATTTTTCATTTTTATGGGTTTGGGGCTATTTAAAGTATTGGTTCTTATTTTCTATAAAAAGCTATGCTTAATAATAAACCACTTGCTATTTTTACTTTATATATACACTACAGTTGAGACTAATTAATTAACTATAGTTTTAATTTTAATTATATATTATATGACATTTTTCACTTTAATCCAAACTTTAGAATAAAGTGTAATTTACTCAAATTATTATAAAGAAAGAAACAGGGACCACAATGTAATTGGAAGATCAGAAGGACTAATTATTTTAGTTTAACTTATAATTATTGGCAGGTCTTCAAAAATTTAAATTTTTATAATTTATTGGTTAGTGACCAACTCATTCAGAACCTTAAGCTCGTTGATTATATTTCTCGAAATATCTCCACACTAAATATTTTATGCTTAAATTTAACTTTTCAATTTAGAAAAATAGAATGATAAGGATATATCTTACATCTAACTATTTGGTTAATTTAATACGTTTTGATTTCATGACGTCACGTAAATGATCAAGAATATTTTTACGCCTTTAACAGCGATCTCCCTTAGATTTTAATTTGTATTTTTTATAATCAGTTCGGCTGCATGCAAAGAAAATAAAATTGTAGTTAAATTTTATATTGAGAAAACAATAACTATAATAGATGTTAATTAACATGATAAGCGACCATATCTTTTTGAAGAAAGTAAATGTATCCATCAAAGAGTTACAACCCCGACATGCACCGAAAGGATTACGTGCAGAGGCCCCTCAGCAAGCTGGAAAAATTGAACATTGGTAACTTATTTTTTACAGATCCAATCTCTGTTTGTAGCAATCATATATTAAATTCTTTTATATTCTTCTTTTGCCTCCTCAAGAGCCAATTAATACACTGTCAAAAAGGATATGCCACATAGATTTTTCCTTGGTATGACACAGCATGATCCTGCTCATTGAGATGACACTTGGTTTACTTTGATAACTATGATCCTGTGATGCAATAGATTCGAAAGTACAGGAAATTATATGCTATATATCGATAGGGAAGAGACCTTCATAGTCGTATTTGCGTGGAAACATGCACGAACCTTCCTTCAAGACTTATAGATGAAAGATAACATGCCATTTGTAGCTTGTACTTGTCTTTAGGTATAAGCTCTCGGAATTAGTGGCGGCACATCGTATCATTATGTCATCATAATTCACAATAAACATCATTGATCAGATCAAAAACATGCCCACTTAGTCTAAGCTAGTTCCTCTAATTATACATTGTCTGTCTACGTTGTTTAGGCCTACATCTTCAATTTGATTAGGTAACAGTCCCCCTTTGAATTTAATTACAATAAACAATTTGAATTATATAAACCAACACTTAATGTTATCTATCGAATCTATATTGAAGATCCCCCATTTATCTCTTCATGCAAGTGCGTGCAACAAAAACCCGTTACTCGCTGAACGTAAGTGTATCCTCAAGTAATATGTTTATGGTTCCAAGTTCTGTAGTAACTAAAGTATACTTACATCAAATTAATTACTTGAGATGCCAAAACCCATTATTAGGAGTATCATAGAGTCCGTAGGATAGCAATGTTCTGTTTTTATTCATATATAACACTTGATTTGTGGAGCAACAATAATTTAGTCACATAAATGGGATTTGATAGAAGTATTTCTGACGTATCCAATTTGATTGCAAAGTGAAATACCACAGATTTTGAATTTAAATTTATGTTGAACATCACCGCTTCAGTTATGGCAACCAAACAAATTCGATTGTAATCTGTGTTCTATTATCTTTTATATTTGTTGAAATATATATCTAATTCCTTTTTCCACTAAAATAATTAATTTCTTTCCCTTTACCAATGCTAAAAGACAAAATTCCTTTCTTTTCAAGCAAAAGCGACAGGATTTCTATGTTGGCCTGCCATTTATTTACAAACATCGTCATTAGTTCAAATCATAGGTTTAATAATAAAAAATATAGTAAGAAAACAATTTAATACGACTGTAACTTGCAACTACTTCCATGTTATAATTTATTAATTTTAAGAATGCCAACAATAAATTGAATTGACTTTTAAGATTCTTAATGCAACAATATTTTGCTAACTAATAGTAAATTATACTAATCTTTAGTTGCAGTAATTTATTATACTCTGGCTAGTTGCCTGAGCCTCTAGGTATATTCTGGCATTTATTTCACAATTGGTGCGAACTTGCGTGATTAGGGGCATGGTGAAGATTCCTCAACAACATCGTAATTTAGAAGTCGCAAAGCAACTCGTGCACTGTAGGGTTATGGTAGAATGAGATTGGGTGTATATAGATACTTTTAGTGAGTTAATTTAATTGGGTTTAAATATGATATTAGTATTCTAACTTAATCGTCAAGAAACTTAATGAGAGGAAGAGATGGGAAAGACAAGGACAACGACAAGAAAATGAAAGAAAACAACGCGAGTAGTGTCATGGATTTCTCTACCAAATTGTCCTTTTTTTATTTTTTTTATTTTTACTTTGATAGCATTTTCCTTTGATATCCATAGAACAATTTATTTGCTTGCTTGAAATGGTTAGTTAAAAAGCATGATATGTTAAATAGAAATGTATTTGAATAAATAACTTAATTAAGTATGTATATAATCATTTTTTACACAAATTTATACCATAAACTTAATCATAAAATAAATGAAAAAAATCATATTCTTATAAGCTATATAAAAAAGTACAAACTATTTTTATAAACTCTCTAAATAAGTTATAAGTAACACTGAAGACATGCATCAACTGATAGATAGTTGTTTTAGATTAATATGTAGTTTTAAAATCAAATTTTAATAAATATAATTATGTTAAATATTAATAAATAAAAAAAGTTTTATCCTTTGTTGTGATCCTATCTAAATTTACTTCAAGGACTAAAAACTGAGTCATAAGTAAGATTTTGATGAATTTACTTCTCAATTTTTTATATGATTATATTATATATTACCGCACTTGAACATTTAATGTTCTATGTATACTATGATTCCTTGGCAATATAAGTAAAAGATGCATCATAGGCCACCAATTTTTCAAGCCGTAAAAGGTGAGTTCTTTCAACGGTGGCAGAGAGAGAGAATGAGAGTATCATAAGAAGATTTAGAATTGATGGTCAGCAGTCAATGGCCCGATCGACAGGCTTATATATATCCATTGAATCAATCAACCATATGAACATTTGCATTTTTTATTTTTTCACTGTGTAAACAAAAATTAAAGATCATTCACATTTTATGTTGAGGAAAGACGGAACAAAAGTCTAAAAAGACAATATTAAAAACAAACAAACGGAGAATGTCATGAAAGAGGTCCCACAATTGTTTATGTTGAAGCATCTTACTAATATTATTTAATGTTGTGTTTACAAGATATGTTTCTTATATATCTACTTTTATTTTTTATTTGATATAAATTTGTGCCAAGAAAAACTTAGATAATACTTTGATTATTTTAGCTGATAATTAGTCGACTTATAAAAGTTATTATTAAATAAAAAATCTTTTAATGTGAAGAAGCAAAGAAATCGACCCTCCATTGTTGATTGATGATTGAGGAATTCCAAGTTTGATGAATAACGGTGCGATCATTCGTACGTATAAAATTTGAGTTATTATGCAAATGAATTATAAATGTTCAGTGCCAAGGAATTGTAAAAAGTTCATAATTTAGATATAATTATTCCAAATTGATGCATTAATATACTGTTCCTTAATATTTTCCCCTTCACAATTTTCTTTCACGGATTATACTCTTTTTTTTTGTCTCAGTCATACGTTTATATAACGACAGAATTGATGGACTTACATTATTTTTGGTATCATGAGGCCCACCAAGACTGCAAGCATAAAAAATTGCTAGCTACTAATTAGCAAAAGAAAAATATGGAGTGCTAACTACTAAAGAGAAAAGTAAAACCATGAACCAAAAAAAGAGTATAACCATTCAAAACTGATCATGGCCCATCTAACAATTGAACTTTTATCTATAAACATTGTAAAAGTATTAACAGTTATTCATTTATTTTATTTTATTATTTATCTATTTTTATGTATTCCCATTTCTTTTAAGGTATAGACACCCAAACATTTTCCATCCCAACTAGCTAGTTATGCCCCTAGGTACCATAATGTCACCAACACCATGTATAAAACATAGTCAAAGAATGCTGAATTAATAGAGAATGGATCTGTATCTAGCCTTGATCAATTTGAAGGGTAACTAAAATGCAACAATAGAAAAACATAATGAATGTGATTCATTATGTAAAGGAGACAAAAGGTAGATTTTTTAAGTTTTGGTTTCTTTTTTGGGGAAAGGTCATTGATGGCAAAGGTAGTTTTGGTGGATGAATGAATGGAAGAGGATGGTGACGTGCGCCGACTAGCTTACTTTATCCCATTCTTTCTTCTTTCACTAAAACTGCACTTTAGCAGCATTTGTTGTACACATACATACATGTCCATCTTCCCCTCCTTCATTCCTCATTCATATACTTTTGTGACATCATTGCACTTTGGACACTTCAATTCTTCTAAGCTAAGCCCCTTCCCTTACGGTCCTCTCAAGTTTCAAACTTCTCCTTACAATTACAATGACATTAAATCAATTTAATAATTTAATCTTTGGGTACTGAATTTCACAGACCAATTGATCGAGAGAGAGAGAGAGAGAGAGAGAGAAAAAGCATTTCTTGTTTTAATTGGTACTATCAGAAACTACGAGTTTCTTTTTAGGGAAAGGTCATCATGGTATGGAGCCACATCACATAGGGAACATGCAAAATATCTAATGTTGGGAAACACCATGCCCCCATTAGACACCAAAACTACCACTTTGAATAAATTGGACAAAGAAAAAGAGTTGAGTTTTCCATCTAGACACATTGCTACACTATATATTATGTAGCAACGCATTCATCTCTCGCCTTGCTTTCTCTGTCCTCTTTGTTCTGTTTAACACTTGTATCTGAAAAAGACATCAAATTCGTAACATGTTGAATGTCCCTCATTCTGACATCATTTCTGGGTCTTCCTTTTCATTCTTCTCCTATTTATATTATGCTTACGTGATCGTATACATGATTGTTTCTTGTTCCTATATTTTTTTGTTCCATATCATCACGTACCACAGGCAGGAGCATTAAGCACAAACCATGTATACACGTTTTATTTTTTTGGACAACAAATCAGTGAGAAGGTTGAACGGGTTACTTTATTCTATGATAACAATTTTATATATATATATATATATATATTCCTAAGTTGTTTTCTACAATGCCAATGTGTAAAGGACAGTATTCCAAGCATTTTAAGTATTAATTTGAGTGGAATTTAATTTTTAAACGAAAAAGTTCAGTTAATTTATTTCATCTTCTTTTTGAAAAATTATCTGTAAACCTAAGTTAAATAAGTTTAATATTTTAAAATTAATTTTATTTAAAGACTATGCTATATGAATATGGATTCGATACTTGTGCCTGATATGGATATAAGTATAAAATACAATAACTTTTAAAAATTAAAGATGTATGTGTGCAATTTAATTTTAAATAATACAAATAAAGGATATAAACTATTTATAATAAAATAAATTAATAAACTTTTCATAAGTAGGAACGAATGAATTTGATAAAATAAAAAAACTGAGAAAAAAGTAAAATGGTCTCTAAATTTATTAAATTTCAAAAAATCTGATTTAACTAGTATTAACTATTTATACCTTATGTCATACTTATAGTTTCATTAAATTCATATTTATGTTATATTTTCTATTCTTAAAATTAATAAATACCTAGATTTGCTTAATTGTATTGGTATTATATTAATACGTACTAAGTAAGATTAGATATGTGAGTTGATCCATTTAGGCCAGTCTGTGATAAACAACGTCCAACTCACTCGGAACAGTAGGTTGACCCACATAAGTAAAAAAAAAAAAAGTTATTTTTTAGGCATTAATCAAAACCTTTTATGAAAAAATCAAATAGAAAAATTCGAAAAATAATTTGTTTTACATCATTCAAACATAAAAAATTCAATATTAAGCCTTTAGAGGGAAAAAAAAAAAAGAAGAAGAAAAGAAACCTATTCTTCATGTTGGTCTGTTTACCCACAAACCAAAACTCATTTACCTGCTGATTAAACGAGTCAAATTAAAAAATAATTTTAAACAGGTTCATACCTTTCTCTTAACACACATAAATAACGGGTTAAACGAGAAAACTCACAAACTTTGGTTTATATACCATTACCAAACTCTAGTATCAATACCGATGTTGGACAAAAGAGGCATCAATACACAAAATACAATAGCCATACTTCAAATCTTACTGTAAGTTTAAAGTCATGCAATTTATATTTAAAAAATATTTATCAAATTTATAATAAAATTTAATATAAATTTTTTAATGTTATACAGAAAATAACAATTTATTATGTCTATTCAGATATAAATTCAGAGTAAAAAAATATTTTTCTTTAAGTTAATTAAAAATATTAACACAATAATAAACATATGTGTGTGTGTGTGTGTGTGTGTAAATAAACAAGGTTTTTCTCTCGATGGTATGATTCAACGAGGTAGTATGTTTCCAAAAAAGAACATCACAAACGTAAAGGCTACGGGTACATATACCCAGGAAAATGCACACTATTATGAGGAATATTTTTATCCAGTCACATGCTCATCTACAGACTAGAGAGATAGACTCAGGAAATTTTAGTAGAAAATATATTTCTCGAATAATCAGAAGGATATTTTTAAGTTTTAAGTATTTTTTATATAGATATATTTTAAAAATGTATGTATAAAAAATAATTAAAATATAAAAAAAACAGATAAAAATATAATATACAATATCATATATTATATCAATTTTTAATAATTTAAATAACGAAATTATTTTAGTATATAAGAAATCATATTCAGTCAAACTTAACAAGAACTCTACTCAATGGCTGACAGACTTAGTTAAGGTGAAGAATAAAGACCAAGATTTGACTGCCAATTCATGAGACCTATAATATACAACATTAATTATGAAAAATTGGCTTCTTGAAAATTCATCACCTTCTTTTCGTGATCTATGTGGCTTTTAATTTCTATAACTTGACCATTGCTCCGAAATGGTTTTCTACGCACCTTGGATCCACCATTCATCAATGGATAGAATATATATCATGCTACAAGATAGGGTTATCCAATTACCTCAACACCGAATTACAAAATCACACAAAATAATGAAGTCCTTGAAATTTAGAATTAATATATATAAACTGCATCTTGAATGGATTCCCAAATTACTGGTGCAAGAAGTTTGAAACAAACATTAATTTGTTTGATGATAATATTGCACCTGGCTAGAAATCAATGCCCGAGACGAAGCTCCAGATCTAACTTCTCCTGATCTTGGTGTTTAAGCAACCCTATTCCTAACTCCAACGTAATGTTTTGCTCATTATTCTTCAAAACCTGGTGCTCCTCCTCCTCCTCCTCTTCACAACCCTTCATTTCCTCATCAACACTGAAACCACTCCTTGTGTTCATAATATCCCTACTTTGAGGATTCAAAAGAGGAAACTGATGAGAAAGTGTGAGTCTTGGTTTCTTATCTCCATTGGTAGAAGCTAGAGAGGATGATGAAGAAGACAAAGTGAGACAAGGACTGCAAAGTGGAGAAGGATGTGCATGATTCAAAAGTTCGTCAGATAAAGGACATGGTGAAGAAGAGGATGGAAGAAGATTTGGGTTGTTGGGCTTAGTGCTAGGGTTAGGTTTAGGGCACTCAGAAACCCATGAAGATAAGGATGATCTCAACCTTGCCCTATCCCTTCTGTGAACATTCATGTGTCCACCCAATGCTTGTGCAGACCTGAACTCTCTTTTGCAAAAGCTACAGGCATAGTTTCTAGCAGGCCATGAAGTTCCCCATGTATGCTCCTCAAAGCCAAAGCTATCCTCTCTCTGGAGAGAGTTTCTGTTAAGGTAGTTTCCTTCCATGGAGCTTTCTTTATGTGTTGATGTATTGTTGATGTATTGTTCAGTCCAAATCTGAAGCCTGTAGAGAGAAGAAAAGAGAATCATATATTATTTAAGGAAAAAAGAAGAAAAAAAAAGCTAGCATTTGACTTTGTTCCCTTAGAATGAGGGAAAACTTGTGTGGATCTCTTACAAGAGAACTTTGGAGAGTTCACAGTTGAGTGATAGAGAGAAAGTGATCCAAGAATAAGTTCATGTTGAAGCTTAACATCATGTATGTACTCTGAGGCAGAAAGTGAAGATCTCTATCTGCAGGTGTACTTCATCTGCCACTGCCTGCACATACTGTATTTGGATATTGCTTAGCAAACAAAACGGAGGAACTGTGTGAAAGTAGTGTTTCCCTTTTGCCTGATCTTGGAAAGCTCTGGCATATGGCAGGTAATGCTGATACTATTGCACTCAAGTGACTTTGAACAGAATTTGAGTATTTGACTTCAAAAGAATAAAGGTGAGGTGATGCAACTCACACACTTAGACACACATCAACTCACATCACATCCTTATTTAATTAACTATCAAACCAATTTAATCAATTGCAAAATATCTCCCATATTTTCTCAGTTATAATATCAGCACAGTCCCTGTACCGAAGTATATATAAAATTTTGGTTAAATATATTTGATAAGGGATGAATTAAGACAATATGAAATAACTTGTGTAAACGTGTATAATTAGCATTATACAAAATTTAATAAATTCATAAAATACATTTCTGAAAAGCTATATATTGAAATTTTATTATATTAATATTTATAGGGTATAAAAACAACAAGAGTAACAAGAAGCTCTTAAGAGATAAATTAATTTGACATAAACAATTCAGGTGTTTCTGCAATGTCGGGTTTAAACTCACAAATATATAGTTGTACTTACAGTGATGAACAATGTAGTACTTCATCAAGTGAAGATAAATTTCATTCTGAAGAGTTCGCAAAAACCCCCTAACACATTTAATATACGATTTTTTTTATTTTACTAAAATTTAAAATGGCATGATAAATTTAGCATCTTGGGGGTTTATTAAATAAATAATAAAACAATAAGCTTGTTTTCTTCAAAAGCCACCCATCTCAATGTTTTAACTCTTCTATGAGTAGATGTTTTATTAATTAATTCAATTTAATATATAATAGAATTTTTAAAATATAAATATATATCAATTGTAAGATAACATATTTATTAATATTTTATTTATCGGAGTTTTTAAATATAAATTAATGTGAACTTTAAGATTTAATTTATCATTCGTATTACAATTTAGTTATATTGTAGAAAGATTCATTTTAAGAATTCTTGGGTTTTTAATTTTTATTAACCCTTTATCAAATTACATTTGATATTTAATTTTAATATTACGTATAATTTTTTAAAATTTTCAGTTAATGGTGTGTTGATACTACATTCAATGAGTCTTATACTACGTTAACAAGTATACTGCATGATATATCAAGATTTAAAGAGATATACGTAATTAAATAATAATAATAATAATAATAATAATAATATAAACCATTCATACGGATAAAATATCAAAATTAAATTCCTAAATTCATCACTTGTTTTCAGTTAATTACCTATGAATCGAATAAACCTCTATTTATTTATTGGTCATGGAATAAACCACTTATCCAATTGCATTTAACTTTTTGAACGGCTGACGCAATTAACTATTTATACAATTGAATTAACTATCTCATATATCAAATCATTTAGAAATATTATTGCTGGGATAGGCTAGAATTCCTTTGCTTATAACATTCATGTAATTTCTAGATGCTAGGGGTAAGGTAAAACATGATGTTTTGGACTAAAAAATATAGATATTTTTTAAGAAAAAGGGGCATATCGTTCCATATGTTCAGAATTTTCTAGCATTGATTTGTTTCTTCGTATGTTATTTTAGAAAAATAATGAATTATTTTTTTCATTACTTTATCTGTGTTGGAATTAATAAGCGAGCAATAAAACAAATAAAATGATAATAATATTTTAAGTGTTTAATAAAAATAGTTGAGTAAAATTTAATTATGTATTTTTTTTTATTTGAACTATTAATAAGCTTAGATGGAAGATAAAAGATAAAAATAAATAAAATAAAGTACTTTTATTTTAGTATCTATTAATTCTTACTCGCATAATAACCACTCAGCCCGATGGATCTTCTTTAACATGACAGCGTACCAAACACTTACAATCAATTGAAAGGTGCTACTCAACCATTTTTCACACCATATTTCGTGTGAAATTGATGTAAATGATTCAATTTGGTAATTTCACACAACTTGTATGGTCAAACTCATTAATATTTTTTACCGTGATGTATTTGCCACCTCTGAATTCCTGATATGAACTGCACTTATTTTTCAAAAGAAAAACTCATTTATTATCGTGTATAAAACAAACCTTTGTTCATTATTTACTCGCAAAAAATAAGCAAACTATTATTTTAATATTTAACTTTGTAAAACATTTTTATATTTTAGTACAAAATGATACTAAAATATAAAATAAAAAATGACATAAATATTATAAAGTTAAGATTATAAAAAATCAATTTTACAATTTTATGAACTAAAATGAGTATTTAAGCCATGAAAAATTGAAAGAAAAAAGTTGACAAAAGAAAGTAAGGGAAAATATAAGACAGTCGTGATTTGGATAAGAATATTCGACAAAATAGGTTGGCGTATTTGTTGAGTTTTAAATGAGTGAATAAGTAATGATTAATTCTTATTTTATTTTATCTAACAACCACCCTTAAACTTAGTTAGATTTTATTTTAAATTATAATAATTTTCTCCATGTAGCATTAGTTATGAAAAACGAGAATAAATAATACCATATGCAAATAACATTATGATGGGTTGCAGACAATTCATTACACTTCCAAAATAATAGTTATTCAAAATTTTATATAAAATTTAATAGTAATCAAATATCGCAAGGTCCAAGAATAAAATTAAAACTAAAATTATTTTCTTAATTTCAAAGGGAAAAAAATAAATTATTACAACAAATTTTATATTTTTGCAAATAGAAATCTTGAACTTTCGTTATATCCTAATGAATCATTAATATCTTACCATTGTAATAACAGATCCTTCATTAACTTGGGGTTAAGTTATAAATCGTACACAAATCTATATCTTTTGTCAATAGATATCTTGAAGTTGCAAATAGATATCCGACCAACAGTGAACAGAACGGCTTTATTATAACTAGTAAAATTTTAAGGAGGGGGACAACATGACTGTCTAGGACGTCTATTTGAAAAAGAAACAAATTAAAATGATTTATTTTTAAAAAAACCGAATACGTAAAAAATTGTCAGAAGGTAGAAAAATATTGAAATTGCACGATTGAGCATATCTGAAGTGCACATGCTTAAGGTTTCAGACAATATAAAGTCAGAAAAGGCATAAGAAAGGTCGGAAATATTTACCAATCATTAAGCTCTGGCCAACATGCAATTCATGGGACGAAGTTGTTTAAATGCAAATGATATCCGGAGGATGAAGCGCCAAGCAGATGGCATTACAACTTAGCAAGGCTGAGATGGGAACCCCAAAGATAAAAAGCAAGAAAAACCTATGGAAAGATGTTATATACAAAGTTTTCACTGTGTCATTTGACACCAAATAAGATTGAATTCTGAAGGGATGTCAATTGGTGAAATACCGATCAACAAGTTCATTATAGATTCTTTTTCTACATCTACCTGACTGATCTACAGGATCCTAAGATGAACTGTATATCTACAAATTTGTTGGGTATGTCAAAGAAGGATTGGACATGCCTAACCAATGCCACCTCCATATCTTTCTCTCTCTTCCTCCTGATTCTCCCAGAGACAGAGGAAATGAAATTTTAACCCTGATCGAAGAAATATCAGTTTTAACTAGAAGAAATCATCAAATGAACCCTCCTTTTCAGTTTCAGATCCTGAAAATGCAACCATGGAGAAAAGGAAAAAGACACACTCAGACATATCTCATTTTCATTTTCTGTAAATAACAAAGGGACAATTTAAACAAGAATAAAAACAAGATAATCAAAATAAGCCATGTTCTTACTGTTTCTTCTATGGCAATTTACTAATATCTTCATCCTAGATGCATATAACTGCGTTGTTATAGAAAGTATTATACAACCACAATCTTTGATGTTCCACTGTAAACCCCAGATACGCTGCCAAGGTCTCAAAAGGAGTGCTTCTGTTCTTATTTAAAAAATTTATATTTATGTTATACGTCACAGGCCTTCATAAAGAATGGGTTTACTCCTCTGACTACCGAATTATTTTATCCCGGTGCAGTAAGTTCAATGGGAAGATAACTAGTACATTGACATTTGTGAAAAAGTTGGACTGACCTGATCCATCCCCTGCTGTGATATCCTGGACTACTAGCTGAATAGGATTTGGCTTCGGGGAAGAAAAAGCTTCTGGATTTGAAACTGGAGCTGGAAATGTGAAATCAGAGTCTGTGGATGAAGTATCAGAGTTACTGGAAGCAACATCAACCCTAGCAATAGGTCGAAAAGTTGAACTCAATCTTGATGAAGTACTCAAGATCATCTTCAGCTCGGCAACTTGACTTGACATGGAAGATATCATCCTGATACACACTAATTCAGATCTAGCATTAATCAAATAGCATTCAGTTTTAGAAGTCATAATTAAAATCGTAGTGATGTCCGAAAAGGGAGACAATGTAAACAACTTCATTGATTGCCACCATAGCTACACCCTCTTTAATTTTATTCCCTCAGGTTATATTTTTCATGTTTAAACCATAGTGTCCGTTAAGGCCCAAAAAAGTACGGTTTCTTTATAAGGTAAATCTAGGCCATTGTTTTAATTGTTCCAAATATGCATTTGAACATGACTTATAGTACATCGAACATTTGATTCTGGTCTTCCCAACAAATATTAAAAATCTATGGGTATTTATATAAA